AGTGTGGGTAATTGTTAGTCCTAACTGATGTGTAAATAGCTCATATTTGACTCGCTGAAGTGACCCTTAACTTTAGGAGGTGGGAACTAATTTATTTACTTGAGGACAAGCAAACACTTAATTTTGGGGGAGTTGATAAGTAGGGATTTTGACTACTTATTAGCACCTTTTTGCTTTTGTTTTAGTCTGAAAGTATTGATTTATGTTCTAGAAACTAATGAAATTGTGCAAATTACAGGAATGTTGGAAGTTTGGCCTCCCATGATGAAATCCGACTCAAAAAGGAGTATTCCGAATAACAAGGCAATAAAGGGCGCATAAGCAAAGAACTGCGGTCTGCAGAAGGATTTCTGCGGCCGCAGAAGAAAGTGCGGACAACATAATTCCATCTGCGGCTGCAAACCGAGTAAAAGCACCCAACGGAACTTTGTCCAATGTGCGGACCGAACATGAACTGTGCGGCCGCAGAACAGGGTCTGCACTGACAAGTGATTCAAAGTTCAGAGAGTGTGAAAAAGACAAAGTCTTGAAGTCTTGCTGAAGTGCGGACCACATAAGAATTGTATGCCCGCAGAAGATACTTCGCAATCCAGAAATGTGCGGCTGCAGAATCCAATCTCCTACCAACTGAAGAAATCTGCGGACTGCACATGGAATTGTGCGGCCGCAGAACCTCCCGAGGGGTATTTTTATCAGAGAATTTTGGCCCACTATAAATAGACGAGTTTCACATCTTTAGGTCAAGTTTCGAAGTTTGAGCTGCTGTAACCGTTATATTTTGCCATTTTAGGAAAGTTTATGATTATTTTTGTGTTTAAACATTATATTTTATCAATTTAATCTTTGATTATGGGTTTAATTAGCTTTTCTTCTTTATTTTCTTCCATTCCACTATGAGTAGCTAGATTAATACTAGGGTTGTGACCCAACCCTAGTGTGTAAATCTTATGGGTACTTAATTTAATGCTTGTTTATGATTTGGTATTGATTATTTAGCTTAGTTCATGCTTAAACTTTAGAATTAATGTTTGCAAACATTGATTCATGTCTTTTTGACTTAGTCTCTACTTGAGAAAGAGGGACCTAGTCTAGGATAACTTGGCTGACAAGGAATTGGGTTAATTGAGGGTTTGATTAGCCTAATTAAAGGGTTCAAACTAGAGATAGTAAGAACTCGACTTGAACTCATATCAATTATTTTGTTTGATACCCATTTGGACTTGAGAAAGCCAAATTGGGCAAAACCACTCTTTTACCGAGAGGTATTGAGTGGGTAACGTAGAGTTGAGAGTTATAATACACCCCAATCAATAAAAAAAGTATTACCGTATTTAACCCATTAGGCGAACACCTAGGTCATGGTCACATCCTAGGGTTTTAACTATTTGAAAAAACACCAAAAATAATCATTCGCTTCTAGTTTCTTTTCTTAGCTTATAATTGTTAGAGTAAAAGTAGAATTAGAAATCAAACCCTTTTGTGGAAGTACAAATTTAGTTAATCTATTCACTCTCATCAAGTGTATACTCCTAACACCCGGTGTAACTCCCTGTGGAAATCGACCCCGGCTCTTGTTGACCATTTCCACTCACTATTGAGTGCGGATTGGATGTGGATCAAGGGTGAAAGAAGGTCTCCTTGTTTAAGACTCCTAGTAGAATAGAAAAATCTCTTTATTTCACCATTGATAACAATAGAATATCAGACATCACACAAAAGTCTCCAAATAATATCTATAAAGAATTTGGAGAAACCAAGCCTTCTAGGTATGAATTCAATGAATAACCATGATACCATATCATAGGCTTTCTTTATATACAACTTAATGACTGTATTTCTGTACCTCCTTTACTGGTGCCACGAATAATTTTCTGGATTAGAAGAATATTCTCAATGATAAGTCTTCCACTAATGAATCCAGTCTTGTTCTCAGTTATTAATTTAGGAAGAAGACTATTAAGCCTAGAAGTAGCAATCTTAGACTATTTTGTTCGAGAAGTTAGTCAAACTAATAGGTCTTAACTGTGAAAAGGTAGTAGGTTCCTCAATTTTAGAGATGAACAATACTAAACAAGTATGAGTGAAAAACTTAGTGAGCCTTTTCCCACAAAATAAATTTTGGATAAAAATTTTAATATCATTTTCGACAGTCAGCCAACACTTCTGGAAAAAGATCCATTAAAGCCATCAAGCCCAACAACACAATTAGGACTTAAGTCAATAATTTCCAATTTAATCTCCTCTTCTCACGAAACTTATTGAGTTAAAGATTGTCCTCTTTAGTAATAAGTTTGTCAATTGGGGGTTATGAGACTAGAATTGATCTTTTATTGCTTAGTATATTTGATTTTGATTGATTTCAGGTATGGCTTGGTTATCTCTATATCATGATATTCTTGATTATCAAACTAAGACTATGATATTGGCTATGCTGGGGTTGCGAAGGTTGCAATGAAGGGGTTCTTTGGGTCAGATTCCTAGTATAGTGAAGGATCAATGGATGATTGAGAAGAGGTGTTTGGCATATCTGGCTTTTGTGAGGGATGCTAGTGCCAATACTCCTACAATTGATTCAGTCCCAGTGGTAAGTATATGTGTTCCCTGCAGACGTACCGGACATACCACCCAATATGGATATTGATTTTGGTATTGGTTTGTTGTCAGGCACTCAGCCCATATCTATTCCACCATATCGCATGATTCTAGTAAGTTGAAGGAGCAGTTGCAGGAGTTGTTGGATAAAGGGTTCATTAGGCCGAGTATTTCTCCTTTGGGTGCATCAGTGTTATTTGTGAAGAAGAAAGATGGTTCAATGAGGTTGTGTATTAATTACAAGCAGTTAAACAAGGTTACCATCAAGAACAAGTATCCACTGCCTTGCATTGATGATTTGCTTAGTCGGCTTCAGGGTGCTAGGTTATTTTCAATGATTGACTTGAGATCGTGGTATCATCAGTAGAAGATTAGGACTCAGACATTCATTAGACGACTTTCAGGACTCATTATGTGCATTATGAGTCTTTGGTGATGTCTTTTAGTTTGACTAACGCCCCAACAACTTTTATGCATTTGATAAACAGTGTGTTCCAGCCTTATTTAGATTCTTTTGTTATTGTGTTCATTGATGATTGTGAGCACGTAATTTTTTCTCCGCACGAAAATTACTCCCACAGATATCACAAATTATTTTTTCTATAGAATTTTAGAATTTTTGTTTATTTTATTTGATTGCATTTCTTGTGCATTTTCATTTTGTCATCACTAGAAACATTTAGAAGTTATAGAAAAATCATCAAAAAATATTTATCCTTCAAGTTTGCATTTTAAATCTTGATTGCATCATGGGAGTTAGTTATATTTTTTAAAAATCACAACAACAAAAAAATTAGACAAGTTGCATCAATTAGTTTCTTTCTTAATGTATCAAATATTTAATTAAATAGTTAATTGCTAGGTAGAATAAATAATTAAGTTGATTTGGCAAGGTTAGGTTTAAGTTGGAATTAAGTGGTCATATATGGAATTGAAAGAAAAAAAAAAGTCGGGCATGCCTCCTCTTCACATCGATTTGGGCCCATAAAACTGGTGGCCCAGCGTCTCAAACACCCGCACCCATCCAAATACCCGGTCCAACAAGATCCACCCACTAGGCCCCTCAAACAACGTAGTATCACATCGAAACTACGTCGTTCCCCGTTAGCCAAAATTAAAGGTATTTAACGGATGGGGCGGTCCAGTCCGGGTTGAGAAAAAAGGTGACCGGCCGATTTTCAATCTGGGCCGGTTACCAATTTTTTCATACCAGGCTTAACGGGTCCGGGTCCATCCGGGTAAAAAATAATTCAGAACGGTTATGGGTCCAAGGGGCCGGGCCGGGTTAATGTTATTTTTTTTGTATTTTGTATAACTATCGTAATTTATATTAATATAAAGTAAAAATATAAAACAAAAAAATAATCTTATAAAAAGAGTGTTTGAATAAAAGGATGCAAAGGCTTTAAAAACTTTATATTTAAAATTTTGAATATTTCATTAAGAATTTAAGATAATAGAATACAATGAAGATGGAAAAAACATTGCACTTATAATTTGCAAGTGCTTTTTTATTTCAAACTTACAAATTAAAGTTTACATTTAACAACATGTAAATTAACGAAAAAAGAGTAAATTCAAAGGTTTTGCATTTCCTTAGTAAGTTCTTCATAATCAATATGAACTTCTTGGCCATCTTCTGGAGTGTTAAATTCGGATGGGTTACCATGTGTTAATATATCTCCAAGTTTCTCGTATTCTGGTCTATCAACATCTTCACGTCCCTTATTTCTTCGTTCCGATCTAATCCAATCTCTGAAACATAGTAAAACTTCCAAAGCATTGCTTCCCAATGAGTGATGGGTGTCTCCAAGTTGTTATCTTGCTTGACTAAATGCACTCTCTGATGCAACAGTTGAAATTGGCACATTCAGCACGTCCCGAGCCATAGCGGAAAGAACAGAAAATTGCTTTTAATTCTCATGCCACCATCCCAACGGTGAAAATTTTTTTGTGCGAGGCTCTTCTTGCTTTTGCAAGTAGAATTGAAGTTCATTAATGTTTCTGCTACTGGTTTGAGTGGTAGGAAATGTAGACTAAATATTAAAACCATCAATGCCTTCATCATCATCCATAGTAGTAGAAGTGGTAAAATGCATAGTGGGATCAACATTGGCTACATTAAGAGCAGCATCATCAACTAGCGTTGCCAACGGTCATATCACTTTTTTAAAAAAATCAGATTTATAGCTTTTGAACCGGTCCGGTCTGGGTCGGTTAACCGGTTCAACAGTATTTTTTTGTTGACCGGGTTTGACCGGTGCGGGTAACCGATTTTTTTTAAACGGATCAACCCCTAACCCAACCTACCCGGCCCCCTAACTACCGATCCGGGCCGGAAACGGGTCAACCCGCCCTGTTAAACAGGTATAGCAAAAATGACCCCTTCTCCCTCCGTTAATTAAAACAATCATTAAACCCATCCCCAATTAACTCAAACCTAGCCTCCTTTAGTTCCCAAATCCTCTCCATTCTGTCCGCTGTCTGCCACCACTCGTCGCCGACTAGAAATCACTATCCGGCAGCGCACCACCACCAAACAGCTTCAATATGTCACCCCACAGTCCCCATCTCACCCTCGTTCTTGATCCACCCTTTATTTTCCCAAAATCCTACCTGATTGCCTCGATTAGAAGATCTTAAAATCAAGATTCAAGCTTTTCGCCCCTTTTAAAAAATCAACCACGATTTGACCTCCTCTGTTCTCAAATCTTACACCAAACAACATGTCTACTGAAGACCTATCGATTGGGGTAATTTGTTTACCATTCTCCGATCGTCGAAACTTCGTTGACATGCGAGATTTTTCCCAAATCCATCTATCTTTCTCCAGTTCGGCCTGTAATGAGTATTGCTACATGTAGCACTGGCTCGCATGAAAATTTGCCGGCCAGTGCTCATGTGATAATTCTTGTTGCTCGTCAGTTTCTGTTCACTATTGTACTTCATTTCACTTACCGGATTTTCACGTGAATTGGTATATTTCTCATTCCCTTTTCTGTAATTTCTCCCTGAACTGCCACGCATTACTGTTTCTGTTTTAGTTAGGTTTAGTTAATTATTTGGATTAATTAGTAATTAATTGTTTGATTTTAGTTTAGTTGTATATTTGGTTAATTGCTTTATGTTTAATTAGGTTTCGATTGCATCCTATATTGGTTGTTTGCATTTGATTGTTATGGTTCATTTGGGCATAAGAATTGGGCCTGCCATTGTTTAACAGGCCGGATCGTTAAGTGTGGATTTGCGTATGAGCCTGTGGGTCAGAGGTGAATAACATGTGTATTAGAGGAGCATATCAGGGATTTAACCTTAAGAAATCTAGCAGTTATTTGTCATAAAATTTTTGTGAAAGAGCTGAAAGGACTGGGTAGCAAATAAAATAGTAGAGTAGGTCATTTATTTGGGGGCTGAGTGGTAAAAACAAAAAAAGAAAGGAGTTAAAAGAGAAGGGAAAATTGAAATCTGGAAGAGAATCTTCCTATAAAAACATGCCTTCACTCACACGCAATTCATTCATAGACATTCACTCCCCTACACATTCACTCACTCTTATATTCATTCTCTTCCTCACTCAAACAGGAGATAACAGAAGCACCCTGAATTTTGAAATTCAAAAAGCCCAGATCTGGGAATTCAAAAGCTGAAATACAAAAACAAAAAAATAAAAAACCAAAAGAGAAGAAGAATTAAAAGCTATTTCAAGTTTCTACTTGTTGCTTTACATTTTCTGGGATTGTGAAAGCTATTTGGAGCTATAGAGTTGTTGCTTGTTGTTGAAGTTTGTTGTTTCAAAGTTACTGGACTCTATTTCTGCATTTTTCAGACCTTTATTTGGTCGCGTTCGGTTGTTTCTACTGTTAGGTATGTAGATTTACATCTGCTCCGTTTTATTTTGAGTTGAAGAATGAAATTTGAGTTTGCTTATGTTCCCTTTGTGTTTGATTTCATAGATCCAGCGTGTTAGTCATTGAATCTACCTAAATTTCTTTCCCGAATTAACTTCTGATGCCATTAACCTGCATGCTGATTAAATTTGCTTATTGTTGACAACGATTTACCTTCTAAAATGATAATTCATGTTTAAACAACAATAATTAGTTGTCCTTAATATGTTGTTAACTGTTTGATTGATGATATAGCCAAATTGAATTATAAGGATAGCCCAGTGGCTATTTTCTTGTAAATTGGGCATTGTTTTGAAGGAAGAAGAATCACACAACTAGAGATAGCTCATGTCACGGAGATTCAAACAGTAGAAGCATAGAATTAGATTTACATTAATGAAATCTTATAATTCATGCTAGACTAGCAAAATATACGATTCAAATTACCCGCCTCTGTCTTTGTATCTAGTTGAGCTGTTAATTAATTTATGTTTGTAATTATTCAATTGTTAATGCTGTTGGGCTCATTTCGGACGCCCAGATCTTCTACTTAGAATTTCGAATTTGGATGTCCTGGTCCAATAGTTTTGAGGCCCACGATAATTTACGGACTCCTACAAAGATTAATTACATTAAAACATGATGCTTTGGGCTTCAAGTTTAGCGCACTTATGACCATACCTACCTGCTGGAGGCCTAGTGTAATTGTTCAATCAACTTCAAGCCACAACAAGACAATTTAGTCCATGTTGAAGCAAGTAATCAAAAGGAAGACATGATTAATCTGTTAAAACCTTGTTGGTACCTACATGCTGGTATATGCTGCAGTTCAAAATAATTTCTTCATGTTGCTTGTGGGGATGACCCTCTCAATATTAAAATAACTCACATCAACTCTTTAATTGTTAAAAGATCGCATGGATACAAATAGACAGAGATATTTTAGTGTATCCTTCAAATCCCAACTCAAACTCCATACCGTTGGACTTTATGATAATCTCAAATTAGCAACTATACTCATGAACATTCGTAGTTGCTTTAGGCGTAATTTAACTAAAATTCATCATGGTTATGGTAGAGTTCCCGTGGCATAACTGTGATACTTAATCCCAAATTCAAGTGTACATTTACGCACCTTAACCTTATAACTTCAAAGTAATTATAAAATAAACATGTCATAAATTGTGGGTACATTTCACGTGGCGCAATTTGCGGTGTGTATAAAAATAGGCAAGTATACGACATCGTAACTTATTTTAAAATAATTCCATAAATATTAAAAATGGTTTAACAACACAATAAAAGCGGTAAACGTTTAAAATGCACGTAGCCTTATAACATGTAAAATTCTGACTAATCAGGCCAAGTGTAATTTGTGAAGCAATCGTGCTAAAATTACGGAATCCGGGAGTGCCTCACACCTTCTCCCGGGTTAACAGAATTCCTTACCCGGTCTTCTGTGTTTCGCAGATTTAAACAGAGTCAAACTTCCTTGAATTGAGATTTAAATTAAATCGGCGACTTGGGACGCCTTGATAATTTATTCCAAGTGTTGACTCTTAAAATAAAGTAAATAATCCCTTTTCAATAATGTCACTCAAAGTGGATAAACTCTTTTCTCTGTAAAAAGGAGGTGTGCCAATGATATCTTGGTGTATTCCTATAGTATGAAGGAGCATGAGCAGCATTTGATGATGGTGTTTCAGATTCTGAGAGAGAAAAAATTGTATGCTAAATTCTCCAAGTATGAGTTTTGGTTGGATTTAATGGAATTCTTGGGCTACGTGATGTCTAGTGACGAGATCAATGTGGATCCGAAGAAGATTGATGCAGTTCAAAGTTGACCCAGACCATCTACTGCTATAGAGATTAGGCGTTTCTTGTGTTTTGTTGGGTACTATCGTCGCTTTGTGGATGGGTTATCGTCTATTGAAGCTTCATTGACCAAGTTGACTTAGAAGGGCACTTCGTTCAGATATTCTGATGAGTGTGAGGAGAGCTTTCATAAGCTCAAGACTGCTTTGACTACAACTCCATTTTTGGTATTGCCTTCAGGATCAGAGATGTATACTGTCTATTGTGATGCTTTGCACGACAACCTTGCATGTGTATTGATCCAGGACGGTAGGGTAATTTCCTATACGTCACGCTAGTTAAAGCCCCATGAGAAGAACTATCCGGTCCATGAATTTGTTAACATTTATTGTGCACGCACTTAAGATTTAGAGGCAATATTTATATGGCATTTCCTGTGAGGTTTATACTGATCATCGGAGTCTTCAGTATTTGTTCAAGCAAAAGGATTTGAATTTGATGCAGCGGAGGTAGTTGGAGTGTTTAAAGGATTATGATATCATTTTCTTGTATCATTCGGAAAAGGCTAATGTGGTAGCAAACGCCTTGAGTAGAAAGGCATAGAGTGTGGGGAGTTTGGAATTTATTCTAGCTGTGGAGAGGCCTTTAACTATGGATGTTCAGGCGTTAGCCAATATATTGGTGAGATTGGATATTTTTCGATCGTAGCAGAGTCCTTTCTTGTGTTGTTTCGTAGTCGTCCTTGTTTGTGCGCATTAATGCTCGCTAGTATAACCCTTTGGGGTTGCCCGGTTGGTTTGGAGGGCAGTCATCCATACGGATGACCTGGGATCGAATCCCCCTCAATGCCTTCTTAGATTGGGCCTATCGCACATGGCTTGCCTAGTGCGGTTTACCTCCCTTGTATGGTTTGTAGGCTATTACACAGGGGGAGGTTTACCCAGTGCGCACCAAGTGTAGTGGCTGCGGGTTTCCCTCTTATCAAAAAACAAAAATGCTCGCCAGTATAATGATCCCCATTTGCTTGTCCTTAAGGACACGGTGTGGCGATGTGATGCTAAGGAGGTGACTATTGGTGATGATGGGGTATTGCAACTTCAGGGTCGCATTTTTGTTCCTAATATCGATGGCTTGGGAGAGTTGATTCTTGAGGAGGCTCATAGTATGCAGTATTCTATTCATCTAGGTGTTACAAATATGTATCGTTATTTGAATCAGCATTATTGGTGAAAAATGAAGAAGAATGATATTGTTAGGCATGTAGCACGGTGTTTGAATTGTCAGAATGTCAAGTATGAGTATCAGAGACCGTGTGGTTTACTTCAGAAGATTGATATACTGGAGTGGAAGTGGGAGCACATTACTATGAACTTTGTGGTAGAGTTGCCATGGACTTTGAGGAAGTTTGATGCTATTTGGGTTATTGTTAATCGATTTACCAAGTCGATGCATTTCAATTCGGTTATGACTTCCTATACTTCAGAGAAGTTGGTCAGATCTACATTACAGAGTTCGCTTGCATGGTATACATATTTCTATCATCTAGGATCACAATATTCAGTTTACATCGCACTTTTAGAGAGATGTTCAGCGTGATTTGGGCACGTAGATGGAGTTGAGTACTGCATTTCACCCTAGACGGATAGCCAGTCTGAGTAGACCATTCAGATCTTGGAGAATATGTTGAGAGCATGTATTATTGATTATTGAGGCCAGTGGGATCATTTTCTATCATTAGCATAGTTTTCCTACAATAACAACTACCAGTCTAGTATTCGGAGGGCTCCATATGAGCCGTTATATGAGAGGCGATGTCGTTCTCCAATTGGTTGGTTTGAGCCTGGTTAGGCTAGGTTATTGGGCACAGATTAGGTTCATGATACTTTAGAGAAGGTGAAGTTGATCCAGGAGAGGTTTCGCATAGCTTAGTCTAGGCAAAAGAGTTATGCTGATCTGAAGGTTTATGATGTGTGACATTTATAGAAGGTGAAAATATTCTTCTTAGAGTCTCACCTATGAAGGGCATGATAAGATGTCGGAAGAAGGTCAAGTTGAGTCCTCGGTACATTAATCCATTTGAGATCTTGGAGAGAGTTGGTGAGGTGTCTTAGAGACTTGCTTTGCCACCCAGCTTGTCGCGAGTTCATCCGGTGTTTCATATTTCCATGCTTTGAAAATATTATGATGATCAGTCACATGTGTTAAAATTCAGCTTGGTGCAGTTGGATGAGAATTTGACCTATGAAGAAGAGCCGGTGGCCATTTTAGATAGATAGGTTCGGAAGCTGAGATTTAAAGATATTGCATCGGTGAAGGTTCAGTGAAGAGGTCAACCGGCCGAGGAGGCTACTTGAGAGACTCAGTCAAATATATGGAGCAGATATCCTCATATTTTTGGTATTTCCGTTGTGATTCTAAACTCGTTCGAGGATGAATAATTTTTTAAGCGGCGAAGAATATAACGACCGACCGGTCATTTTATGTATTTGAGCCCCATTCCCCTATTGATATTTTCCGTATGTGTGTTTTTTAATTTTGTGATTTGCGGGATTGGTTTGCTCGGCTTTGGAAAGTTTTGAGAGTGATTGGAGATACTTAGTCTCATTTTAGAAGTTTAAGTTATTAAGAGTTGACAGAGGTTTGACTTTTGAGTACACAATCTCGGATTGGTGATTTGTGATTCCAATATGTTCATATGGTGATTTTGGACTTAGGTATATTTTCGGATTTGGATTCGAAGGTTCCTAGGAGCTTTTGGCTATATTTACCAAAAGTTAACAATTTGAAGGTTTGGAGAGTTCATAAGTATGATCAGAAGTTGACTTTGATGATATCAGACTCAGATTATTGTTTTGGAACTTGGAATAGATTTATTTGGAATCCGAAATATTTAGGCATGATTCAAACATATTTGTCGAAGTTAGAAGGTTTGGAACTTAAGAGATCGATCTTGATTGTCGATTCTTGGTTTTGATATTTATTGCGGTGTTTTGAGCTTTTGGATAGGTTTGGGTAAGGTATTAGAACTTGTTGTTTTGATTGGACGGTGTCATGGGGGGCTCGGGTATGTTTCAAATGGGTTCCGGGTCATTTTGGAGTCAAGTGGCAATTCTGGTGCTAGTGTGTCGCACATGCGAGGGTTTTTGCGCAGGTTCGAGCCCGCAGAAGCAGAAATGAGATTGCACATACGAGGAATGTTTGGGGCACTGGAGGTCCGTAGATGTGGAGTCTTTGCACATCTGTGAGTCCGCAGTTGCGATGGAATGCTACTGAGTTTAGTCAGAATTCACATTTGGAGAGCTTGGCATATAACTTACTATCCTGAAGGGTTTGTAATACGATCCGCAAGTGTTCTGCATGTTCCACCTCTGAACGAGAATACACCAGAATGTCATCAATGAGTAAGATCACAAACACGTCAAGAATGGGTCTGAATACACTATTCATGAGATCTATAAAAGTTGTTGGGGCATTTATAAGCCCGAACAAAATCACCAAGAACTCAAATTGCCCATATCTTGTTCGGAAGACCGTCTTCGGAATATCCTTCTCCTTAACCTTCACCTGATGATACCCTGAACATAAGTCAATCTTAGAGAAATACTTGGCGCCCTAGAGTTGGTCAAATAGGTCGTCA